AGACCCACTGAAGAGGGGGGACAGTGATGAAGGGGAGGCTCCCTGCAGGGATGCTCATGGGTGGCAGGGGTGAGACCGAGCGCACAAGAGGTGGGGCTGGTCTTAGGAAGAAGCAGGGCCATTCATTCTTAATAGCAGGTGGGAAGGCAGAGGAAATGGGTACAGATGATGGTAGGTGGACAGGCAAAGTGTGGGCAATTACATATCAGCATCCTCAGATATGCACAGAACACTGCAATTGTTAAAGGCATGACTCCAGACTGCCTGGATTCAAATTACCACTCACCATCTGTGTGGCCTTGGCCAGGTTTCTTAACCTCCCTGTAACTCAGTTTTCTCATCTATAGAATGGTACAATAAAAGTAGTACAGCATAGGGTCATTTTGTGTCTGGCAACTTGTATCATGTTAGCTATTGTCTGTTACTAGAGCATCCACCAGGCAGGAACTTGGTCTCTTTTGGTCACTGATATGTCTTAGTGCCTAGAATAGTGCCTGGCATGTAGTGGGTGCTCCATAAGTATTTCTTGACTACAGCATGTTTGCTTCCGTTTGCTCAGAAAGGTCAGCACTGATGGTGAGGACGCCAGAGGAGGCAATGAAAGCTTGAAGATCCAGGAGAAGGTAGTTGTCCAGGAAAGTGGGAAAGTAAATGAATAAAGGAAATGGTGGGCACCATGGAGGACCCACTTGAGGTTAGAGTTAATGAATTATGACCTCCCCAGCTCCTGAAGGCATTTTGATTTGGGACTAAACCACCTCCTACTGTATCATTAGTATTCAAACCTGATAGCTATGAGAATAAATAGCTACTGTAAACAATATTGGGATGGAAAACCAGTTCTAAGTCATCGGGTGCCAAGGCCTGTGTTGAGTGTGGTCACTAAGGATTTCAGCTGCTATTCATTGAGGGCTTACTCTGAGCCAAGCACAATAGCAAGTCCTACATGAGCACTTCCTCATTCAGTTCTCAGTACAGTCTTACGGACATTATTGTTACTCTCATTCCATAAATGGAATGAGGCTCAACGAGGTGAGGATTTACCCAAAGGCATGCAGCCAGGGAATGGCAGAGCATGAGACCTAGGCCGCTACCTCAGATGCCTGATGCTCCCAGTATCCAAGGTCTCCAGACCTACCCGGTCCTGATGAGGTGCGCAGCTGTCCCCTGGAGGGTCCTCATGCCTCCTGAATAGCAGCGGAGCCAGCCAGGAGGCCTTAGGCAGCGGCAGCAGGTGGAGAGGAAGTGTGGGGAAAGCCTGTCACTTCTGCTTTTCTGCCCTTAATTAAGTCCTCCTGGCCGCCTGTCCCGCCCTGCCGGGGCCCACCTCCCGGGAGGTTGGGCAAGCTGCCTCATCCTCCTTGGGTAGGCAGGAGTGGGTAGAAGGTGTGGGAGGAGAGAACGGGCCTTTCCCAAGCAACATCTCTAGTCCTGATAGTCCTGTAACAGGAAGATGGAATTAGTCCCATTTCACAGAGGAGGGAACTGAGGTGCAGGGAAGCCATTCAGCTCATTCGTGGCAGTGCTGGGACTAGAACTCTGCTCAGCTTTCTCTGTCCCTTTCCTTCCACGGTTAGGTGTCCCAGGAGCAGCCTGAGCCCACCTCTTAGAGGGTGGGGACCCGTGGGAGACAAGTGGATTTCTGCAAAGACTTTTCTCTAACCATCATTGGCTTTCGTCTTTCTCTCCAGCTCCCCTCCTGTCTTTAGGCAAATGGGGACCTGGCTTCACAGCACAGCTCTGTTCCTCCCTAGTTGTGTGACCTTAAGCAGGTGACCTCATTTCTCTCACTCTCAGTTTTCTCCTCTTAAAAGAGAATAATTGTGATAATAGTTAATATTTATTGAGCACTCGCTTAGCATCTGAACAGTTTATAAATGAATTTATTGAATCCTAGCAACTTACAACCCTTTGTGGTAGGGGCTGTTATTACTTCCACTTTTCAGTTTAGGAAACTGAGACCCAGAGAGGTAAGTCCCTTAACCAAGCCACTCAGCTGCTAAGAGGCGAAACCATAATTTATACCCCACAGTCCTATTCCAAAGTCAACTGGTCGACCACCATTCTCTACTAGTGTGGAGGGAAGGAGTCCTAAGACTCATGAGGACCTGTGATGCTTCTGGCACTGCAAATAGTAGGTGCTCAATAAATGTGTGTTCCCTGTATGTGCTAGGCTGCAGTCGTTACCCTGCAGGTACACTTCCAGGCTGTCTTCTCCCAGCACCTCCGTGCCCCATCACTGCCTGTAGGACTGCCTCCTCCAGAAGGCCTCTCCTGAGCCCGCAGGCCCCCACCCTGCAGGATGGGCTGGTTAGGGGACTTTTAAGCTGCATTCCAGACTCTCTGCCATTTTCCCTTATAAGGACATGGTGCCTGGGTCTCTTGTTCAGGCCTGAAGGAGGATGTCTTGTGGCCCAGATAGGAGGAGTGACACTTTGAATGAGACACTTTGGGCCCACAGGGAGCCTAACATCCTTCCCAGATCACAAACCCCTCCAGGAAGGCAGGCCAGGTGCCCAGTGTGCAGAGAACGGGGCACCCAATGGACCGGAGCAGCAAAGGCACGTGCCTGTGGAGCCATCCAGCCAAGGTGAGGAGCACCGCTGCCCAGGTGGAAACAGCGGTGCCCGGCCACGTGGAGACACCTTCACAAAGGGCAGCTTCTACTCTGCTCCAGCTGAAGGGTGAAGCCCCTTGAAAACGAGGCCCAGCGTTTCCACATACTGTGTGTGCTGTGTGACCTTGGACAACACACTATCCCTCTCTGAACTTGTGTGGACTCTGCTGTAAGGAGAATATTTCTCGGGTGGCCTTGAGGATTTAGTGAGATAATGTACGCAGAATGCCCAGTAAACACCAGCTCAATGCTCCTGCTTTCTCCTTCTCACCGTGGCTGACAGCTATGCCTGAGTGTGTTCCGGGCTGCTGAGACCTGACTGTACAGGCCTCTGTGATGCCCACTGGGCAAGATCCCTGACCAGGGTCCCATCACCTGGGAAATTTCAGGGGACGGTGCTGGTTGGAGATGAGCAGCACAGTGCCCTGGAAGATACCAGCATTTGCCCAGTTTCTGCACTGGCATCAGGGAACTGACTGGTTAAGGCCCATGTTGGTCATTGCCCGAAGGCCTCTGGGTGGATGTGTAAGATTTGGGCGGATGGGGGCAATAGGCAGTGAAAGGGCAGAAGATATTTTTGGCTTTTCTCAGCACATGTAGGCAGCCACTTCTGCCTATATAAGGCTGGCTTGACTTCAAGGCCCACAACATCCGGAAGCGGCTTCTGAATCACCAAAATAGAATCAACGTAGTTGAAGGGAATTTCTGCACAGAGGATTCATAGCCATAAGACAGGACAGGAAGAGGAAGTGGTAAACCCTCAGATCTGGAATCAGAAGAGGCCCATACACTATGGGAGTCATTGAGTTTTACAGCTTGTGGGTGTGGCACGTCACTGCCATGTACTTGATTTGAGAATATGCAGAGGTGGCTGAAATCTTCCCAAATAGACAGTGCTCTCCAATAGAAGCAGAATGGGAACCATTTAAACATTTCTGGCAGCCACTTAAAAAAGTGAAATTAATTTTTTTAAATCTTCACCCGAGGATATTTTTTCCCATTGATTTTCAGAGAGAGTAGAAAAGAGCGAGGAGAGAGAAAGAGAAAGAGGGAGGAGAGAAAAAGAAACATCAAAGTGAGGGAGACACATCAATTGATTGGTTGCCTCCCGCACTGGGGCCAGGGATTGAACCTGCAGCCCAGGTACGTGCCCTCCTTGACCAGAATTGAACCCGCAACCCTTCGGTGCCCAGGCTGACACTCTAACCACTGGGCCATGCTCACGAGGGCGTGTCATTGATTTTAATAAAATATTTTACTCAACCTAATATATCCGAAATAATATCCTTTAAACATGTAGTCAATATAAAAAGTGTTAATAGGATATTTTGCATTCACTTTTTTGTACTAAGTTATTAAAATCGGTGTGTGTTTTCTACTGACCGTTCATCTCAATTCCAATTAGCCACACTTGGGTTGCAAGTGGCTACCGTACCCTATAAAGGCAGATATAGACCATTTCCAGCACCACAGAAAGTTCTACTGTGAGCCCTGCTCTAGATCATTAGAAACTGTGAACGAAAGCTAAAATGGACCTTCTAGGTCAGCGGTTCTCAACCTGTGGGTCGCGACCCCTTTGGTGGTCGAACGACCCTTTCACAGGGGCCGCCTAAGACCATCCTGCATATCAGATATTTACATTACGATTCATCACAGTAGCAACATTACAGTTATGAAGTAGCAACGAAAATAATTTTATGGTTGGGTCACAACATGAGGAACTGTATTTAAAGGGCCAGAAGGTTGAGAACCACTGTTCTAGGTCATGTTGCTCAGGAGTCATAGACACAAATGCCTTCAGAAGCCAGGAAAGTGCCAGAGTCTAATGAAGGGAGCCAGTGTAGTACATTAAGGAGTGGTGGGAACTGTGGCAAACCAGAGGTTCACCTTCCAACTTAAGTTCTCCCACCACAATTACTCAACTCCAAACAATTGTTGCCAGATAGCAATAAGATCTGGTATTTTCCTTTCCAGGAGAAGCATAAATCCAGGTTTTAATGTGAAATCTCCTGAATTGAAAATGTACGGGCTGGAGGCAATCCTGGGGACTACTAGTTGCAAGCTCTAATATGATCTAAACCTTCCATAACCCCTTTTCTCAGTTTGCCCTCCACACTCAATGTTTTCTCTGCTTGTGCCGCCAGAGGTAGACCAGGTGAGGAAACCAGTATACTAGTATATTTGGGAGCATAGTGTTCTGGGCAGAGGAAACAGCATGTGCAAAGGCCCTGAGGCAGAAGGTGTTGAGTGTGTGGCTGGAGTAGAGCAGAGAGCAGTAAGAAAGTGAGACCAGGGAAATCAATTCTGTGAAACTCCCTCTTCAGGAATTTGGGGCTTTGAAGCTCTTCGATGCCCAGAACAGCAAAAAAATCTAAAGGGCCAGTGTTGATTAACATTCTTTATTTTATAGCATTTTCAATCAAAAGTACTTGAAATCATGGTTCATCTGGTTATAAGTTCCATGGGTTTCTCTGTGAACGCACTTCTCTCCTACCCTGTCCCACAGGGAACACACCTTCCCCCACTCCTCACCCCCGGGCTGTAACTGTGACTAAAAACTGACATTCTACTCAGTTGGGAAGGAGCCCGCTTCCAGGGAAGTACATGCATGACTCACTCCTGCTGTACTGAGGGTGAGTTTAGTCTCTGGGGACTGCCTTCCAGGCCCAGGCTGCTGCTCAGGGAACCTCATCCCTCGGAGGTGCAGGAAGGGGAGAGGGCTCTGGGGCCCTCGGGGTGCCTTTGCCGGTGCTATGCTAATGCTGGGCCACTCCTTCCACAGACACTTGCTGAGCATCTGCAGGGCCCAGGACTGTGTTGTTCACTGGAGATGCCCAGATACTTCTGCTTGAAGCCAGCGGTGATGGGATCCCCAAGGAGAGCCCGCCAGCCACTGGCTCTCGGGAAGTCTCAGTGGCCCTGTCTGGAAAGAGGATTGTGATACTTGGCCTGCTTGCGACATGTCACCCTGGCCCTTTGCAAGTCCCCAGTTTCTCTCTTGACTTTCCTCTCCTCCCTGGAAAATATGGTCTTTGCTAATCAAATGTCCTTGCCAGTTGGGGTAGGGTTGGAACCAGCTGCGGAGCAAGCAGCAGCCAGCAGCCACACGGGCCTCTGCGGGCCACAGGCAGGTGGGTTCTGGCTGGAGGAGCCATGAGTCACCTGCAAGAGGGCAGGGCCCAGGTTGGCCCAACTCTAGAAATATGGCCGCAGTGAATCAGATTGAACAGGAGAATCATAACAGCTTGGGTAGAGATGTCAGCGGGGGTTCTAGAACTCCCCTGGTGTGCTTGGGAGCTCAGAGACGCAGGAAGGAGGCTCTGCAAGTCTCCGTGTCCTCAGGAGGCCATCTGTCCCTTCTGACCCCTGCTCCCCTTCCCCCCGGCTCCATGGGTTGAAAATTCCCCTGGCTGCTGGGTTTCAACAGGGGAAATAGTCAAACAACTGGTGCAGAACGGGCCCCCGCTGAACTGAACATGTCAGCTGTGAGCAGCTGGGACAGGTCTCCAAGGAAGGTGGCCCCTAAAGGCGAGATGGTCTGCCCAGAGTGCAACCTACAGTAGTCAGTGGGGAATGTTCACTGTGCCCTTGGGGATGGATAGATTCCCATCCCAACTGTTCAAGACAAAAGCAATTCTAGATTTATTTATTGTTGCTGGAGTTGGGCCCTCTTGCATGCTAACCACATTCCAGCTCAGAGATAAAGGAGCTTGAGATCTGGGAAATATCTGAGTCCTGAGCTGCATGAGCGAGGAGAAGGTGTCCCAGGTAATGAACTTGCTGACCCAAGTGGACCACCGGAGGTTACCCTTGCGTGTTGCCTTCTGGATCACAGAGAATTGCTTGATCACCCTGTCTGATCCTAAGAGCAGGTACTGGTAAAGCCTTCTGGGAGGGCCCGGCCCAGAGTCTCCAAGGAGGACTCAGAGGGCAAGTAACGTGTCGTTGGCCACCAGTGAGGGTGGCTTTCCTGTGACATTGGTTAAGTGGTCTTGGGCCCAGTCCGGGAAGGAGCCCAGCTGGAAGATGGGCTGTGCCCAAGTATTGATGGCCACGTTGAGTATCATGATGCCCATCAGGTTCATCAGGAGGCCTGTCCGCACCTGAAATAGAACACAGGCTCGAGGCCCATTGTATACCTGGAAAAACCCCAGTCATTCACCCAAACCCAGGGCGGTGGATGCCCCAGACCCTCCCATCTTTACACACCCTAGGCTGTCCCTCAAATGTCCTCATTCATTGAGTGGCTTATAGGGGCCAGGTACTGTGCCATGCAGCTGTCATAGGGTCATTTAACCCTGAAAGCAGCCCTATAAGGGTTATTATTATTATTCATATTTTACAGAAGAGGAAAATGAGGCTCAGAGAAGTTGGCTTATCTAAGGCTACACAACTTGAAAATAGTCTGATTTGATCATTAAATCACCCCCCCGCCCCCGCCACGCCCTCCACCCCACACAACAGTTAAGGCTATAATTGTTTACTGGGAAGATTTTTTTCTCCTGGAAATGTTTACCTCTTCAAATAGCTGGAAAGAGTTGCCCACTTGCTCCCTCTCCAGGCTGACTCTCATACTGTGCAGTCCAAACATGGGCTGAAAACACCTGTTTCCCAGCTCAGTTTTCTGTTTGTTCCACCCTAGCATCCAGCCGTGAGAAAATTACTCCCTTTAGGTTGCTTTTCAAATCGCTTCCTCAGAGCAAGTCTGCTTTAGGGGCTACCATGCCCTTCCTTAACGCTTCTCTCCTCTTCTCCCACTGCCCCTCGTCCCGCCCCCGCTTTTTATTAAATATATTTTTGTTACTTTCAGAGAGGAAGGGAGAGGGAGAGAGATAGAAATATCAATGATGAGAGAGAATCATTGATTGGCTGCCTCCTGCACGCCCCCTACTGGGGATTGAGCCCGCAACCCAGTCATGTGCTCTGATCGGGAATCGAATGGTGATCTCCTGGACTTAGGTTAATGCTCAACCACTGAGCCACACTTGCCAGGCTTCCACTTTCTTTTTTTAACAAGACCCTTCTCCAGGCAACTGTAATTGGGGAGAATTTCATTATTTTGCTTTTTCCCCCTTTGCATGGATTTTTAGACTTGCCATCAATGGCATGCATTACTGGTTTTCCATTTACATGTACATTGGTAACTTTTCTTTTTAAATACTGTTATTTAAGGTTTTTTGTTTGTTTGATTTGGCTAATCTTCATCTGAGGAGATTTTGTCATTGATTTTTAGAGAACGTGGAAGGGAGGGAAGGAAGGTGGGGAGAGAAAGAGAGAAGGTGGGGATGAGAGAGACACATCCATTGGTTGCCTCCCGCTTGCCGCCCCAACCTGGGCTGGGATTGATTTAACCCAGGTGTGACCCTTTGGTGCGTGGGCTGATGCTCCAACCACTGAGCAACACTGTCCAGGGCTCTTATTTAAGTTTTTAAAAAATGTAAGTTGATTTAGTAAAATTGTGAAATGAGTATTTCCCCAGATGGTTCATGGTAAGGGCATAGGCCGGGAAACCGCTGTGCTGGCTGCCTCTGTTCTAGGGAGTCTTAAAGCCCCTGACAAGTGTGGAGAATTAGAAGGAGCCCAAAGCTTTGGGGGAGCTGGGAGGAGGGTGGGGTCTTCCTTCGCCAGGGTCCAGGGAACCTGGCTCAAATGCCTGCTTAGTTCCACTTGAGTTACGTAGTTAGTTAACACCTGTGCGTGACACTCTGTTTGCTCTGGATGGCTTTCTGCCTCTCACTCTGGTTCTCTGGCCACTCATCCTGCTGAGTCCCTGAGCCTGGAAGCCAGCATCCTGAACTGGTTAAGCACATCACCCCTGGGGTGCACCAGTTTAGGATGAGTTATTTACATTCTGAGCATCCAAACGCCCCAGGCCCAGGTGGGGGTGGAGGGGGAAGAGGCAGCAGGAGGTAGGAGGAGGGGAGAGGGTGGGAGGGGCGGGGTTTGGAGGGGGCATGGGGAAGAGGGAACACACTGCCCCATAGTTGAGCCCTGCTGAAAGCTGGAATACTCCCCCGCAACTCGGGGGGCTTCTGTCACACTCCTCAGCTGGCCAGGCATTGAGGCCACCCACGTCCCAGGGTGTGGACTGGCATTTCTCTTCCCTAAAGATGCTGGGCACAGTGCAGTTGGCCCAACAAGCAAGCACAGAGAGGGGAAAGCCCCTTGTCCCCAGAGCAAACCTTGGAAAGCAATCACTTAAGCAGTGCTTCCGGAAGTTGTCTACACGGAGTGTTTGCTAAATTGTCTCTTCCTGGCCGCACTCAGAATGGCTTACGTAGAAATTGGGGGATGGTGGCTGGGGGAGCAGGAGCCCTGCCCAGATGCCTAGCCCACCACCTGTGTCCACCCACCTCTCTGGGCTCTGCTAGAAAACGCCCAGACTTGCCTGGCCAGAGTTGCTCAGTGGTTGAGCATCAACCCACGCACCAAGAGGTCGCTGGTTCAATTCCCCATCAGGGGCATGTGCCTGGGGTGTGGGCCCCATCTCCAGCAGGGGGCATGCAGGAGGCAGCCAGTTGATGTTGATGTTTCTCTCTCATGGGTATTTCTATTTCTCCCGCCATTCCTCTCTCTCTGAAATCAATACAAACTTATTTTTTTAAAAAAAAGAAGAAGAAGAAAATGCCGAGGCTCACCATGTCTTTGACCAGCAAGTGTCCAGTGGCGAAGGCAATTGAGTTGGGGGGTGTCGAGACCGGGAGCATGAAGGCGTAGGAGCAGCCCACGGTGGCAGGGATCATCAGGTACAGGGGGTGCACTTTCAGGCGGATGGCCTGGGCTCGGTGGTGAGACAAAGACATAAGAGGTAGAGACAGTTGGAGGGAGAACAACACGGAGACAGATTTAGAGACAGAAAGAGAGACAAAGACACATGGATAGAGAGAGGCGGCGTGAGCGTGCGCAGTCGAGACAAATGAGAAGACAGATGTAGAGACAATGAGAAACCAGATACACGAACACGCAGAAATGAGAGATACGATACACAGAAACGGACAGGAGGCGAGAGCCAGACCAAGGGAGAGATGGAGAAGACATTCTCAAGGTTAGTGACATTCTGGGGCCGCACTGCAGGGTCACCAGGGAGGCTGGGCTGGGGAGATGTGCCTAGGACACTCCTCCGATCTGAGCACACAGGAGCCACTGGAGGCTTGTTAAAGCCCACCACTTACCCAGCGCTGCTGACTCAGCAGGCCTGGGGTGGCCCCAAGAATCTGCATGTCTGACAAGGTCCCAGGGGAAGCAGATGCTCTAAAATAACAAGCCCTCTTCCTGGTCCTAACAGTTGGAGTCGGGGCCCCTTGGGTTGGGGCCTCACTGGACTTCAGGGATAAGGAGAGCTCAAGATGGCAGCTGTTGGCAAACATTTCCAAACGTCTAAGACCGGGGGTCAAACGTGTCTGTGGGTTGGCCTCCGTCAGTGGGCCGCTGGTTCTTCACCTCTCTCCAACGACATATTCTGGTGCACTGACCACCAGTGGGCAGTTCCTGTTTTGAGTGTCTGCCCCCTGGTGGTCAGTGCACTTCATAGCGACTGGTTGTTCTGCCGTTTGGTCAATTTGCATATTAGCCTTTTATTATATAGGATGCCTAAGTAAGCAAAGGAAAACAAAGTGCCTGGTCTGTCACTGTTTGCATACAAAGCATATACTCGCGACATTGACTTAATTCCCTAGATGTGGGGTTACGCTGAGGTAATAACACCCCTTTCATCTATTCAAATGTAAAACTCAGGATAATCAGTTTTGAAATCCCAAGTGTAAATTCTTCTTGTCCGTGATATGTTGTTCTTGGCATATGATCCTGGATTCGTTTTGCTATTTGCATCTTTATTTTCATACGAGGTCGAGTTAGGACATTTTTTCCCCCTGGTTTGTGTTTGGTTTCGGGGTCTTGCTAACCTGACACGTGGGTGGGATGGCTTTCTCTGCCTGTCTGTGCTCTGGAACGCTCTGGGCAAGTTGAGAACTCTCTGCTCCTTGAAGGCTCCAGCTCTCACCTCGCCAGCCCTCCAGGACTGGTGACCTTTAAAGCAGTAGTTCTCCACAGGGGATGAGTGTCCCTCCCGGCGACACTTGGCAATGTCTGAACACATGTGTGATGGTCACGATTTAGAGGGGGCGCTATTGGTATCTAGCGGGGAGGGGCTAGGGGTGCCGCTAAACACTCTGCTGTGCACAAGGCTGTCCCCACCACTTACCCCACAATTGAGTGGTGCCAAGGAGCCCGGGTTTACAGGGAGGCTAGAGCTTTGCTATCATCAGAGTTCCTCCTGTGGTTGTTGGACTAGTCAGACTTTCTACTTCTGCTTAATCCAAACCTGGAAATTATATCTTCCTAGAAAACTTTCCAAAGAAGGCCATTTGGTCACTTTAAAAATATTTACTTTGATTATGCATTTTTTTAAAGAAAAAAAACGCCACAGTATTTTTTCTTGGAATCTGGGTTCTGCCACATTCACACATTTTGGAAGAGAGCAGTGACTCCTGGGGCTGCCTGCGGGAGACCCCGCCAGCAGGGGAGAGGTTTCTGACCTGGGTGGTTGGAGTGATGGGTGCTCCTCCTTGCCGATGAAGACGGCCAGCGCGGGAGACACGTTCTCCAGCGGGTGCAGCTGATCGCTGATCCACAACGACAGCCCGGACTGCTGCGGGGGGAGGGGAGGAGCGAGGTCGCCTCTTCACACCCAGCCCATCCCAGTGCCACCCCTGAGGGCTGGCCCAGGGGGGAGGGTTGGGATCCATCACAATGATGACAATGATCCCTTCGTAGATGGGGAGTCTGAGGGTCAGTGGTTAGTGACATGTCCGAGGTCACACATGGAGCCTGGACTTGAATGAGCGTCTCTGCTTCTTGAGCTCTTCTCTGTTTCGTACGCTATAGGCCCGGGACTCAAAGCCTTGGATCCTCAACTAACTCATTTGGTTCTCTAGACAATTCACTTGGGTCTAGCACCCTAAGCTCCAACTTGAATGGGAGAGGGGACTTGGATCCTCCATGATAAATCTCCTCATTCCTCCAATGACAGTAACGAATTAAAATGATATGAACATAAATATTGCACAAAACATTAACCTTGTGATTGTTATCTATTAATATGCATCAAATGTATAATATATAGAAGATATACTCTATATCACATGTCATATAAAACATGTATCAAGTATCTATTAAATATGACACTGTCAATATGATTATAAATAGTAGATATTATGATCAATAAAAAGGATGTTTATAACAATGATCACACAAATATTAACGCTGTTAACATTGTATTATTCATTATCATAACAATCACCATTAATGTGGCTCTATAGGGGGCGAGACACCTGCATACATTAGCTCCCTGAGTCCTCCCAACCATCCCATGAGGTGGACACTTGTCCCTGTGTCACGGAGGAGCAATGTGAGCCTGGCAAAGTTTCTGTGA